TTTACTTCGACGAGGACTTCACATAATTGAGATCGAACGTCACTTACCGGTAAGTTCGTTCGGTCATATATTTTAGAAAGGCTTAGCCTGCTAGCTGTTCGCCCAGATTTAGACAATTATCTGAGGTCCAGAAACATCTAGATATTCTCTATCGAGCTCACATTCCTCATTGTTACTAAACTAAGTCATGTAATATTCAACGTAGGGCCTTAAAAGTTAAATAGATGTGTAACAATATACAGATTTTGTAAATAATTCTGCTTACATCACGCTAAGAGCACTCGCAAATGGTGTCATTTATAGCTTTACTGAATGAAACCCTGTCAGCTGTTTTGTGTTATATTTCTCTCTAATTTATTTGCCTTCTGTAGCTGGATTTTCTTGGTATAACTACTTTTTGGTATGACGATGAGTTGTGTATCTAATTGCATAATGTAGTTTACTGGCTTGCTTGCCACTCTGATTTGAATTGTTTAAATTCGCCAACCGGTATTACTTAGAGTCAGTCTTATATACCCTCCGTGAGGCTTGAGGCTTTCTTGGAAACAATGGATATCAGTATATCCTTGGAAACAGTGAAGCAATGACGTTTCCTTGAGAAACACTCAAGGTAGGATTCAAATTTTCATTTCACAGTAGGCTGTAACAGCTGCTATCGATGTCAGAAGTGTTTAATTTTGCTGGCTGTATGTTATTAGCATTTTGATGATAACATTGCATTGCTACGATTTTTTTCATTTGCGCTAAATGTATCAATTTATAATGTGTTTGCTTCCTGGAATTATAGAGTATTCGCAGATAAGTAAAGAACTGAATGCAACCAGTTACTCCTCTGCTGCTGTTATCCGTTTTTATTTTCAATGATCCTTTAAATTTGTCTAGTATCTCAATCAAATGCATGTTCTCCTCTTCGCTAAACGTTTTTTTTACTGTATCATATAATTTATAATAATAAAGAATTTTGGTTTCTAGTGTTTTTTCTTGTGAAGTGGAAATGGTTACCTACATTCAGTTTTTTACTTCTCTGTGATTACGCTGTAATTCGACAAAGCAAACACATTATTATTTTGCATTGATTATTGTAATATATCACAAATTAAGCAAATCATCTCAATTTGATCATCAAAATGTGAGCAAAAGAAAATCTCTCTGACATGGATGGTAGCTTGTGATGATAACTGTTACAGCCTACTATGAAATGAAAATTTAAATCCTCCCCTGAACATTTCTCAATAAAGCGTCATTGTTTTACCATTTCCAAGGAGATAAATATCTGATATCCACTGTTTCCAAGGAAGCCGCTATAAATCTAAATCAAACATTTTGGGACTAGACATGTCAGAAAGAGATAGAAGCCGGCTGAAGGGCGAAGGTCATCTCCACATACCGTCAAACCCAAGAAGGAGGTCTGTTTGAGCATTTAATTTAATATTCTGTTTCCATTTTGGTTAAAATTATTTATTCCAATTTTGATGCTTTAATTTATATCGGAATTATCTTTGATTCCCAGCGATAGTGATAAAAACAACACATCCTGAGTTATTGTTACATTTTGTGACAGCGAGCGATCGGGAAATGTAACAAATATCATTACGCAATACAAATTATCACTACCTGCGTGTACGCGGGTGAAAACCAGTTCGAAGTAGGACGCAATCCCCAATGAACGCTAGATATGTACTGACCAAAATTGCGCATCTATGATCATGGATATGGAAACCTTGCCTTGGAGTGTACGTGATGCGATGATGCAATGATACAATTGTTACAGAATTTGTATCGAACCTGATTTTGACCCTAAACAGATGGGACCGATCCGGAATCGATCCTGAACAGATTCGACACAATTCACAATTCAAATATGAGTACCCTCAAAATGTAACTAGTATTTGGGCGTAGAGAATAAACTAACGCATAATTTGAATATCCGTCTTAATTCAAGGAACTGGTGCAACATATGGGCAACGCAGTAGATTACCGCGTCAGCGTTGCTAGGCAATGCCGTGATGAGCTTCGCTATCCAGGCGGCTTCTACCTCTTTCTAACATATGTGTCTATACACGCTTCTCTATCTTACACGTTGAACTCTAGCCTTCAGACAAATTTGGTTCAGTGTATGTGACTTAAATGTGCTACAAAATGGGGTGTATTCTCCAAATTCTCCAACCTTGGAAGGTTTTCATGGACCCTCCGAACTTTTGTAAGCACGTGTGTGAAATAGCGTCAAGTAGGTCAACTCCGCACTCCCGACGCAACGCCGTTGTCAGTTCATGAAGTATTGTATTCAGCAGAACTTAGCCCTTCTGGAAAAAAGATAGGTACGGACAGGTATAAGGTATGTAATTGCATATTTAGCATGATGTTTTGGCGAATTTCTGGATTTGTCTCATTCTCCTGTAAAAGAATTGCTTCTTCCCGCTCTTCGTGTTTTGAAGACAGATACACTTTCACAAAAAGTTATATCTTGCTGATGAATGAACCCCTTTTCCCCCCAGGAGAGTTCCTGCGGGCGCCCATGAAAGTTGCCATGACTAACCACGCCGCTCGCCTGTGTAGCGGTATGGCAACCACTACCGACTGCGAACACAGACAGCGAACACAGACAGCGAACTACGACGCATGCATGTTCGGAGACGCGTCTGTTGAAACTTCTTGTCTATCATTTAGGCTTTTAGGGCAAATGTACCCGGAAATCTATGATGTGTGGAATATGTCAAATAGGTGGGTGGAATTACCCCTACAACTCCCGAGCCTCAATTCTTAACCTATCCAAATCTTTTTCTGTTAAAATGGTCAGGAGACCTTGAGACGCAAAAAACGGAGTTTGAACAGTACTTTTTTGTCCCGAGCCCGGCCGTCAGGTATCCAATTTTTAAGAACTATAAAGCCTCCTCGTCCTTGGGTTAAGTAACCTTCTGTGAATTTCATCAAAATTCGAGTGATACTTTAAAAGTTATAGATACACCAAGGCCAAGACTAAAAGGGCGATAGAACGACAGACAGATCGACAGAAATGAGTAGCATGATTTTTCATTATGTGTATGTCATATAACATACGATCTCATTCTCTAAAGTTTTGGAGTTTGAGTCAGTACGCAATCCGAGACAGATGGAGCTGGTGCTGAGCTCCGAAGAGTAGGATACAATAAACCCACGTGCTAGACAAGAAAAGCCGTGTGGAAACTAGGTCAACCTCGTTAAATATTTACCTATCCTCGAAAACTGAGCTTTCACTGAAATACTGTTTGCTTAAGCTCCTCATTCACCATTGCTGGTCAAAAAGTTTTCATCAACAAGCCATTTTGAGCCACATGGAGTATTTAACTACAGCTATATCCACTACTCTCAGTAGGCATGGACTGTCCCATATAATGGAGCGTCTCAAAAGTGCAGTAACGTGACATCAGGCCATCTGGAGCAAATAGCGTGTAGCGATTTTCACCTAAAGTTTGGCATCTATCTCTTGAACAGTAGTTGCAGTGATGCTGTGACATAGTCTTCACTGTGTACCTATTTATTGTAACAATGTTCACAAATATCCTAAAAGGTTTATTGACAAACAGCTTGAGTACTGATGCTCCAAACTTTTTTTTCGTAATCATGTTTGTTGGATGCCTCAACATGGATCAAGACGTTTCCGGGCAGTCACCCCAGTGAAAATTTGCATATACAAGTTGTTAAGCAAATTACAACAGATTAGCATTTCCGAACAGGACAAACTTATTAAAGGTTTTCCCTGAGATTTCCACCTTTTGTGGTATAAGCGATATGAGGAACAAAATACCATAAAACAGGTCATTTTTAAATGTTTAGAAATACATTCAACAACAATTGTTCGGCCTTGGAGAAGGTTTGAGCTTTAATTAGATTCTTGGCACGCTCAAATTTATGAATTTTCAATCGAGCTTTTAATCAGGTTTTGCAAAGTTTAAATTATTTACAGCTCTAAAATGTTCAACTTAGTTACTAAGGACATAGAATGACCAAACAAACTCAAAACAGGTTTGTCTGAAGCGACAATGTCATTTGCTGTTGTTTTGTGTGAAAACATTGTTTAAACTAATTAGCAGGTTACCGTCCCAGCAACCTCTTGACTCATTCAAATACGATAGCTCTAGTACCATCTATCACCATAACCGTCCTCTGCCAGAGTAAGTAGCAGCTATCTGCTTGAACTGTGAATCTATCTAAGTTCGAATTAGAAGCCTAGTTCTCACTGTGATGCTGCCCGACCAACCGATGGCCTAGCATGTTTTATGCTTACAGACAATCATCAGCACGGTCTAAGGTTGGCCTCAAGTAGGGCAAACGAAGGCAGAGCAAATTATCCTGTCATCTACCTCAACAGATGATAGTTTGCTCTGCTTTCGTTCTTTGGCCTATCTGAGGCCAAGGCGAGACCATGCTGCTGATCGCCAATAAACATGAAGCAGCTATATACTGCTGGTCCTTGGTTGATTGGATGAACAAAAGCAGTATTGTTAGTTTTCATTGGGAAGCAGACTATTTTCGCTGTATCGCCAGAGCCGACGGCATCAAGCGGTCTCAGTGACGACTCAGCTATCGATGCAAACAGTTAGGAAAGACAGCTTGCTATTCACTTTCGCAGCGATCGCTTCTCGAAATAGATGGCACTTGCTCATATTTGGATATACCTTATACCTCCGACAGAGTACTCATTGGTCTACCTTTGTTCGTTGTCCTACGTTAGACCAAGCTTAGACCGTGCCGATGATTGGCTGTAAGCAGAACAGCTGTTGGTTGGTCGGGCAGACGAAAGCAGTGTTATTACTCTTGATTCACGTTAAGGGGCACAAAAAAAATCTACTTGGAAAATTATTTTCATGAAAGCGAGGTTTTTGACAATTGGCAAAGGCAGTGAAAAAAAATCGTTTCACTTGTACGCCGCTGTATTCACGTCAAATTGACCCGAGAGCTACCGGTTCGATGCAATCTCGTTATTGGACACGGTTAGCCGACCTAGACCGTCATTATTTTCAGCAAAATAGGCCTATTGGCCTACAAGCACCGGCAACGCGGTACTAGTATGGATAAAACTGCCCGCTGGCCGTAAACTGTCCTCAGTAACGCGTGCGGCACGCGTACAAGTATAAACACCAGTGATAACGTAGTGAAAGAAAGGAAGTGCCACACGCACATCACAAGGACGAATCTGAAGAAGCTGTGGTCCATAACCAGGAAGAGAGAAGCGGACTGTACCAAGACGTACCAGGTGAGTTCCAAGCTGAATATTGCTTCAGAAAGATTACTTCCATTTGATACTAAAAGATGTAACAATTGCAGTTTTGGATTTCTCAATATCAAGCAGATGCAGTATGTCTTTCTATACTAGATGTGGCGTACCCTACCACTAAAAATCCGAGCTGTTTGAAATTTGGAAAATAAAGGTTTCAACCGTTCATATACCTAGTCAGCAAAATAAAATCAAGTATTTAATTGTATTTGTACAAACTCCCTAAACAGTGTTACTGTTCCAGAACGTGGATTCCAAGTATAGAAAATGAGGAATTCAGAAAATGTTTATATACGCAGAATTCTGAGCTCAGCACTTCTCAGATATTTTCAAGCCCAAAAACAATAATAACATCCCAGTAAATTTTATACAGGTGTATCATATCTGAAAACCAACAGCGGAGTTCGGATGTTTCCTTTGTTTCTTTTTGTACGAAAAAATCTTGGAAACATGCATCTGCGGCATTGTTTACGCTAGTCTTGGATCAAAATGCAAGCACGAGTAGTACCTCCAAATCTACTGGGGGAGTAAGGAAGTATCATTTTCTCTCAAAAACTAAAAGAATACTTTCATGTAGGGCATTTCATATGAATAAGGGTCATCAGACTGATATCTTATAATAATATAAGACCTTTTCGTCATGGCGATAGTAGTAAGTCTAATAACAACCTGCAGCCAGATCTCCACAATTGTTCCAGCTCTACTGTTTGACCTACAGAGGACTACGAGTATTAGACCAATCGATGAGGCCTTCCGAGAAGTATGTGTCAGAAATAATTTAAAAAACTTCAAATCCTAAAAGTGTCGGATCCATAAAAGGTTTTTTCGGCCCTAGAAGTAAGCCCAATTTCAAGCTAATTGCATCTATTATGTATTTTACGCTTTCATCGACATTTTTCCCTTTCACTTCAGTACTTGTTTGTTTTAAAGCGCTCAAGGTTCGCTATTTTGGCGTTCTTGTCCAACACTGATCATGCCAAGTTAAATATTTAAAAATTGGTGAATTTGAACAGAAAGCCAAACTTGCGAACTTTGGGAGTTAAGCACTAACATAAAAAATTCAAAATACATACGTTCTGAAGCACTTGACTACAACATCTTCATAGACGCGATCAACGTGAGATTTGAGTTATTTTTTTGGGCAAAAGACCTGCTTAGCACCCTGATCTTTTTTGCTATTACAATATCATTGTCGCCCTTTGACGTTGAAGATACAAGTGAAACAAGACATTCAAACTGATTAGGCACTACAAAGATACACTTTGACTACACTTTGGAATACTAAAAACCCTAAAAAGTGATCTAATAAAACTAACACAGCACGACATCACTAGAAAATACAAAGTGCATATACAGTGCTCTTCTTTAATGTCCCCCTCCCCTTTGATTTTTTGAACGGATCAATTCAAAAAATTAAAACTTGAGGCAATGAAATTGATGCGTGGATGCCATAGTTTAGATCCTTTAATAACCGAATATCGTCAAAGCGAATCCTAATGAATTCGATACTGATATTGTATTCCAGCAAGATGTTGCTTCACCACACTAGTACAGACAAGTTAGGAATTACTTAGATAACAATTTCCCCGGTCGTTGGATTGGCCGTCGAGGTCCTGTGGAATGGCCAGCTCGCTCGCCAGATTCGACATCTTTAGTCATTTTTTATGTGGCTTTTTGAAGCAAGTGGTGTACGAAACTTAACCTGCTTCAATATTGGATATACGGCTGAGAATAACAAATATTTGTAGGAATATCGATGTTACTATGTTTGAAAAGGTTCGACGCTAAATTATTATATCAAGAAGTTCAAAGCAACCATTCCCAGCATTTTCTAAACTGAACTCAACGTAAATGTCATTGTTTTCAGGTAATTATTAAATGTACCACCATTTTGTAGTAGGTGAAGGTATTGACTCTATATTCCAGAGTTTTAAAGTACTCGTCAGGAGCTTCAAAATGATGTGCTACAAGACCCCCGTTTTCATATAATTTTTTATCCAAGATGGCGCCCAGCGGCCATCTTGACATTTTGATCTGTCAATTTTACTCTAAGATATGGTATCCACGTATCAATTTCATTACCTCAAGTTTTAATTTTTTGAATTGATCCGTCCAAAAAACCCAAAGGGGAGTGGGACATTAAAGAAAAGCACTGTATACACTCCAAGTTTGGGGCGGGTGACTGCTTTCATGTACTCGTAGCACATATCGTAGAACTATGGTATATGTACAAACAAAAATCAGGCGGAAATCCATTCTTAAGGAAACTCCTTGAAAACAATTTCTCTGCATGTTTGACGTTCCAGTTGGTATACTATGAAGTCTATATGAAAGAGATTCAACAGTTTCGTCATTGTAAGAGGTGGATACTGTGCAAGTACCTTGAAATATCGAAAAATATTTCATATGGTCTTATTATGTACATATCACATTTGTATTATGGTAAAACAATCACGGTTTTCTTGAAATATACAAAAGCTGAACTATTCCTTATCGTTTGTCGTTCCAAAGCTGTATTAGAACTTTTTTTTAGTGAATGTTCATATTATGGACCAGGGAATAGTCCCGGAAAATCCCCGGACAGCTAGTCCCGAAATTTTATGGCCCGAAGTCTTTGTTTTCTAATATTGACAGTAGATAGAGAGTATAAAAGATAATTAACGATAATGTTTGAGAAAAGCGATTTTCGTCAGCTGCGTGTTAGACGTACACAAGACCGCAGCTCACATATCCTATTAACCTTGTTCCTAATTCCCGAAAAGCTATATTTCCATCTTACGATTAGAAGCCGTGGAGGCTAAAATATCCGTAGATACCTCATTATTCATTAACATTATCCAGATGACACTATACTGAATACTATAAATAAATTGTCTTTTTTTCAATAGGGTAATTGAGTTGAGAAGTCAGAAACAAAATATGATGGAGATCCACAGTGTATACGTTTATTTTGTCGTTCTGGCAGTATCCCTAATCGGTATGAGCTGTGAAGAAACAGTGATTGAAGAAGAAGATTATATTGGAGAATATCTGATATATAGGGATGCGATCCGGTTCGTGGAAAGCTGTGGAAAGAAAGAATTTTCCGTATGCCTCAAGGTAGGTGTAGTGTAATGGCCATTTCAGTTTAGTGACTATCTACAGTCCTTATACACATGTTAAGGATACACTAAATGGAGTATCACATCTACTCAGTGACATTAGAAGTGTCACACCTAGAACAAATAATTTTTTCAGCTTGTTCTTTTGGCAACATAATGAGTATATTTAAAGCACCTTTTTTAAAATGTTATCTCTTTGTATACGAATATTACTAGTTATTGCCTCTTCATTTACTAGTGCTAAGCATAACAAAATGCCGCGAGTTCGAAAACGTCCAAATCATCAATGCTAGCGACTTTGAGAGCAGTAGAATCATTGCCTACGAAATGTCGATTCGTCCTATCGCGAAATTGGCCGTGTTAATTGTACTGACATGATGGTAACGTGCGTATGTCGTGTGTGGATAGAAGAGGGTAAAGGAATACGACGAAGGCCAACTGGTCCACCGAGGCGTACCACAGAGCTTTAAGCCCACGAGATCGTTTTGCTACCACGCGTCAGATCGCTGACCAATAGTTTGGAGAAGGAGGTATAGTTGTAGTCACCGTCCTTGGCGGGTCAAAGTAAGACTACCAGTGTCTCTTCATGTATCTTTATCTCCCTCATACATACACATGCAATTTACCGCTGCGTGTGAACGTTTGTTCGGTAAGCTCAAAGACATACGTTTTTTAGTTGTGTGTCTCCGTTTCGAAAACTTTTTCTCGTTACGTATGGAGTGCCCTTCAATCATATTTGTCAGAGTGACAACTTACTCGGCCTCGGCGTACAATTCGAGTTGTGCTGTTATCAATCTTCAATATAAAATTGTACAATACCCTGAAATACGATCAACGGAGAAGGCCGACAGCTCTTGCTGAATTTATTAGAGTACATCTTTCCAGGAAGGGAATGAAGGCAGCGGTCCCCTGCTACCCACTTCATGAGTCCTGGCGAGAGTAGCACATGCGCTGAAGATTAGTCTGCGCAGTGTTCCGCCCATGGTACGGAGACTCGATCTGTTCACTTATTTCATATGGCGTTGATTTCGTAACCGCCAGGAACGGTGACTACAGCTATAGACCAGTTACTAGGCGTACACCCTATCGCCACATTCGAACCTTTGGACTTTTCCATACAGTCCACGGTTAGTGCTTCCTCTGACTGCGGATCACTGTGGCCAACGTTTGAAATGGAATAGAGAACGGCAACATTGGGAGGCAAAATGGCATAATGTCATCTTCAGCGACGAAGCGCGATTTTGTCGACGCACGTTGGTCGTAGAAGGGTAAGACGCCGCCGCGGAAAACGGCGTGATATTGGATTTGCTGTTGAGAGGCATGTACACAGGACTGTTGGAGTAATGGTTTGGGGGGCTATTGCCTATGGTAACCCCTTCTCTTTATTCGAGGCAATATGACTGCTGCGCGTTATGTTGACGATGTCCTACAAACCACTTTATTGCTGTATATAGGGGGTCGTCTACACGTCCTTGTTCAGCAAGATAACGCTCGTCGTCATACGGACTTTCTTCAAGAAGCAGGCGTTAATGTTTTGCCGTGGCCACCAGGTTCACCGGATTAAAGTCCGTCGTATCCTGCACATGTTCATGTGCAGGATACGACGGGGAGGAGACTATCCACTTTGCAGCATCCGCCACAGCTAATCTACAAAGTTAGAGTTGCTTGGAATGAGGTGCCACAACCAGACATCGATCACTTCATTTTGTCGATGCCTAGACGTACACAGCTGCGGGGTCGCGCACCACATTATTATTTTTTTTTATTACTTGTCAATAAAATTTCGTGAGAATGTTATCGTTTCATTCTTGATGAAAATCTACCTCTTTGCCAAAAAATCAATTTATTATTTACTACAGCATAGTAACGCTACTTCAGGTATTGAGACTAATCTTTTATATCTTCCATACACCTTCAATGAACTATGAGTGTTGATAATAACATTATATAATGGATGATCTCATCTTAAGTGAAGTTTTACACAATCTGGTCTCAAAAATATGCAAATTTTGAACAAAAAATTCGCATTTTTCTAAACTATAAAGTAACAGGAAGCCATGGTTCGTCGTTGAAATATCATATTTGGACATAAATCTGCAGAAAATATTGGTAGTCGATAAGGTGTATCGACACTAATATTCTGTCATCTGCAAATGATCACCAATAAATACTTCATTAAAATGAGGCATCACTATCCTAAATACTTAATTATCAGAGTCAGTCAGTGGAACTTCATTGGATGGACCCACTTATTTTTTCAATTACTGGAAGGCCGTAAAAGTATAATTGGTATAGTGTGTCACTTTATTTATGTATGTCCACAGTTCAAATAACTGAATACGGACAGAATGTTATGCTTTCTGCATTTGAAACCGTGAATATTTGTACCTAACAGGCATGCAAAAGAAACGAAAATAACGTCATCTTTAAGTAATACGATGATACGGTAGTTCAATATTTGTGGCGAGCAAATATATGTAGAGGTTGCAGGAGGAGAAACCATACATCATTACTTTATCTTCTACACAACAAGATTTAGTACGCGCTGAAGTTTTAAAAACCAAAACCGTAACTCGATGTTTCGAACTACTCAGTTTTAGTTATTTAAGATTACCGGAGCCAATCTATAACGACACCTAAGAAATTACTCCAATGAGAAACAGGTTTAATCTACCTAGTGCGTGTATATAATGACAAAACAGAGCTAAAGCTGCTAAACGATTTTTGACATATAAGATTAGATACCTTCGTTTTATGCAGCAGCTATCCCTATCGGCCTATCTAATCTGTGAAAACAAAGTTAGTCAAACAGGTCCATACAATTACTCCATAGACATTCTCTCGCTGCCCTACCGGTCGGGCTTCTGCAAACGCTGCCTCTCCCTGACACTTATCCGGTCAGAACTGGCAACTCTGGTCAGAGCATGAAATACGTGTCATATCACACGAGACAACTACACCTAGGCCGGCATGACGTCAGGACGCCGGCAGAAGCAGCCGCGACGAGTAGGTACGCGATCCGTCTTCTGAGAATATTAAGGGCTAATGTACGGCTGATGTGTGAAATATGTTTGTCAGATGCGTATAATTGCGCAGGTAGGGCAGTATGAATGTAGTAAAATCAAAAAAATTATATAAACCCACCTCACTCCTCTACCACCCCCATCGCCAGTTTTTCTTAGCTCTAAAAATTCTTTCGAAAATGATCAGGATCCTCTGAAGTTTGAGCGATCTCTATTCTTTCTCGTTTTTGGCCGCCACTGGACCGGTTTTCAAAAACATTTGCGTCCCTGGCATAGTAGTTACATTGTATATGAATTTGATCAAAATCCGAGCGCTACTTCTCAAGTTATAGGCTATTATCAGATTAGCGGACAGACCGACATACCCACAGACACACAGACAGATAAACGGAAATGAGTGGCATGGTTTTTCGTAATGTACATGTCATATACCATTCAAAAAACATATCTCTGTTCGGAAGTCAATTACAATACTTCCCCGCCAGTAGGCATGGGAAGTAAAACCACCTAGGTAAATAATTAATGAGATTTGAATTGTGCTGTCAATTTAATTGCCAGTTTAACCAAACTGTGGTTTACATTCTCTATATATTTGAAAATGGTTGAGACATGAGTAATGTTGCGTTAACAGAGGAAATATACAACGAACAGACATTTTTACCTACGTTCTCTTTAAAATTGATCAATCCAAACCGGGCGTCTCTGATATACATTGATTTCAGTTTGTCACTTTGACAACAGGCACGAAGAATTTCAAATCACTTGTTCTAAGCTGGAAATCTCATTTATTTATTATTTTTATTATACACTTGACATAATATAGACAAAGTAGATGTATTCGATGCACTGAAATATGCGAATCACTGTTAATATTTATTACCATTCATCAGTCGAGCAGTCGATAACAAATTCCACATTTCAAACTTAAAAAAACCTATCTTTCTGTTTCAATAGCAAATTTATGGATACGTGTGAAAATCATGTATTATCTACATTGTACATAATTTTGTTGGGCAGGCACTTCTTAATAACAAAACGTCTTTCACTGATCCTATACCAGCGACGTGGCTCCAGCTGATATCACCCTAGGACGCAAACATTATGTAAAATTTACTTATAAAAAAAAGCAACGTGTCAAATATTCCTAACGCCGCCACCGCAATTTCCATCAAATTGTGGTAGAATATATAGAAGGTAGACGTATAGCTGTACCTCTATTCCCAAGACGTGTATTTTAACTTGAGACGTGTAGCGTGATTTGAGCTTTTCAGCGTTTACGAACTTTCACCCCCAATTACCAATTTTCAATTCTGAGTTGATAAAAGTATGAGCGATATTAGTTTAGTTCATTTTCTACCCGTTGCTCTGCTGTCACTAGATCGACTTCCGAAAACCATAAAGCTTTTTTCGTACTTAGCATAGTAGTAACCTTGTGACAAATTTTCATCAGAATACAAGCGGTACTCTCAAAGAAGTCATAAAAGGGGCTAGGATAGACGGACCGGTATGCATTCATACAAACAGAAATGGAAGACATGGCTTTTCGTGATGTACATGTCATGTAATATTAAGTGATGATATCTATTTTCCGAATTTTTTTCAATTACAATACGTCTTTGCGAGTTGGTGTGGGAAATTAACATAATTCATATTTTTCATGGTTTGCCGAGCATATATCATGTGACGCACTGTATACAATCTAAGGACACAATAATTGATACCAAAGAAACAATTAGTTCTAGCTGATGGTCTTTGTTGACACAAAATGTCCAACCATATACGTATAAATAGATAAGTAAGCATCAAAGCACATACAGGTAGTCAAGAACGAGATCATGTATTAACTGGGTCTCTGCTACGATTTTACGGAAATGGAAAAGCAATTAACAGGGGATATAGAAACTGGCGAGGCTTATAGCTATGCGCTAATTTAACATAAAACAAATAGTCTGGAATTTGTGGTTTGACAATTTGA